CTGTAGGTTGTGCTTGTTCATTACCGCGAGTCTCTATATAACTAGGTACTTTGGGTTAGCCATCAAGGCTCTTGCAAGAAAAGCACGTCTCCGAGTTCCTTTTTCGCATCCAGACCGGGGAAAGCCTATGCGAGGGGGGGTCCCCTTTCCCTTTCTTTCCCTCGTGTGAAACGCCAACCTGTCGCGTCGCTGTTTCTGCTTTCCATCTTGACGCCCCGCGCCGATCGCTGGGCAAGGCAGGCGTATCAAGTCCGGGCATATTTCACAGGCTTCTGCGCGTTTTTTCGGGCGATCGGTTTGACAGCTGTCAATTCCCATCTGATTGTACCATAGATGTAATTCTACAGAGTTCAGTCTCGTCAATTTAGGGTTTTTTATTATACACCACACGTAACAGAAATACTAGTTATTTGTCGTCTCCCAAACTTATCCATCATCATCCTATTTTTGGGGGGATCTTGGAGTTGTGGCTCTTTTGATTATGTGGAATACCTTTTGTATGAGGCCACTGGGTCGTCTTTCTACTTTACAAAGTCTCGGGTTGTTAAGGCTTCGGAGCTGCTGCCCGTCTATAAGACTGGTACACGTAAGGAGTCGTCCGGTGAGGCTTCGTCGTCGGTTGGGGCCCGAAAAGAGTCACCTAGTTCGGTGAACTTATTTTTAGGTTGCCAGAGACCCCCCTGCCCCCTTTGTATGCAAGTCGGTGTTTCGAACATGATTCGCATCACCCGCCCTCGCCAACCATGACTATAATACTATAATACTGGGCGCATGACTCTGTCCAGGGCTGACGCTGGAGAGTTTCTGTTCCTTCCGACATCGTACCCGTAGTGAGCGTGAAACACGTCTCACAGCTTTCATTTTTACTTTTTCCCATCCGGCGACGTCCCGCGATACGACAACTTTGACATATGCCTCGACACCACACACAACACAGTAATAAAATAAATGACTGACATTAATTGACATTAATTGACAAGACGCTAATATTACATTCTTAGAGGTTCCCAGGTAATTATAGTACAATCAACGACTTTCAGCTCTGTCCGCCTACCCAATCTTGTCCCAGTAGATCCTCTCTGTCCTTCTATCATGAATTTAAAACTAGCCAAACTCCATCTTCTCTTCGATATGAAAGAACAAGAACAACAGAAAAAGAAGCCGGTTCCGTTCATACTTTTCCCGATTATACAATCAGATTCCCGAGTTCCTTTTCTTTCAACCCTTGCAGCCAATTGACATCTTCCTCCTCGGGCCGCGCATCCTGCATCTTCCAAGTCTCCTTCAGCATCTCAATCGCAGTAAAGACATAGCCCCAAGGACATACTTTCCAAATCGCCATCAGTCGCGTCAGCGTCCACATTCGTTTCTCCGTGTCGCGCGTCTCGGCGCCCGCGATCAACGTCGGCCAAGACGATGCTTTAAAGTATGGGTCATCCTCACCAATCTGCGACAAGTGGTTCAAAATGTCATCGACCAAATACTGCGTGTTCACCGGTCGCACAGCCCCCGCCAGCGGCAGTGCTCGCAAGATGTACAGGCAGACAGCAGAGCGATGCGCCGATGCCACGTGGATCCGGCTTTCGACGTCCGTCACGTTGGACACTTGCTGAAGCTGTGTGGCCCAAGCCGAAATGTCAAACTCGAGTGTTTCGTCAATGAGCATCAGCGCCTTGCCAGCGACGGCCACTTCCGAGTCCATCGATGGCCTGTCCCTGTCGGTGGAAAGCTGCGAAGCGGCTAAAATAATCCCCAGAATCTCCGAGGGGCACGACAAGTAGCTGTTGACTTCGGTCCGCTTCAAGACTGGCAGAAGCTCATAGGCATAGTGGGTAATTTGTGCCGCCCAGGGCCCAGGGGCCAACGTCAAGCCCAAAATATGGTATCTATTGTGAGTTAGATTACACGTGTACCAAGCAGCTACGGCATGACAACTTACATGAAGCAGTCTGCTACAACACAGTCTCGCAGCTTACGACTGGTTGCTTCCTGCGGCCTTGTCGTTGTCAAGAGAGCTAGGACATTGCTGGCACCAGTCAAATGAGCCTGCCAGCTTTTGGCGTTTCCTCTCTCAAGGTCAATCAGATCAAATTTGACAAAAAAGTGCATCGCTGCCAGAGTCACTTCGCTCCCAGCGGGGTCCAGCGTATCTAGGACACCACGAAGGTGACCCATGGCCTTTTGCTTGGCCGTCAGAGCATCTATCACTGCTTGGCGAGATACTAGATCCTTGGAGCGGAGCTGGGCCAGGTGGTAGCCGGGGTCAGAAATCCCAGCCGAGAGCGGCGTGTTGGGACTGAAGCTGTTGGCCCAGTGCAGAGCCGACGTGGCAACAATGATGTTGAGCAGCAGAGGGTGTTTTCGAGTGAGCGGGATGAGCTCCCGGAACGGGTTGGTTCCAGGTCCATCGCGGGCAACTAGGTCCTGGCACACTCTGTTGGCGACTAATGATGACCGCCACTGTTAGTCTTGTTGCAATCGTCGGAGCAGGACAGCTTGACTTACAGTGGGCAAGGTAGCTCCTCGAGTTTCGATCCATATCTTGGAAAATGGGATCAGTCAACTGACTCGGCGCAAGGTACACGCCTTGGCTCCTTGCCGGCGGAAGAGCCGGCATGGCAGCGTGGGCAGCAACACGGGCACTTTTGGACGTTCTTATAGCGGGCGGGCGATCAGCTTGCGCCAACGGTGGTGGACCGCTGCGGAGGACAAGGCTGGGGTGCCCCGCAACACCATGGGTTTCGCCCTGGGCTGCCCGCCGCACGCCTGGCGATGGCTTCACCTTGCCCTGCGCATCGATGCCTTCTGTCCACACATATACTTTCCCGTAGCCCAGGCATTCCTGCCCAGTAATGGTGCACTTGTTGCATGTTGGCCACGAACGGTCACAGCGTAGACGCCGGCGACGACAGTTGTGGCAGGGCTTGTTGTTTTGCGGCATAGACCAGGGGTTTCACCGCCTCGCAGCGACGACCGAGTGTCGGAAAAGCAGCAATAGCAGCAGCGAAGCCCGGGTGAGTTTTGGTCGGGCGTGGGAGGGGGGATGAGGCTGGTCTTGCCGGTCCGGAGGAAGGAGAGAGGACACAAGCACGTTGGCGAGAAGGGCAACGGCGATTGCTGTGTTGGGACGCGCTCAAGAGTGCATCAACAGCATGGCTGGCGGCTTCCACAGGATCGAGGTATTTATGTCTTTGTTTTTGATGGCCCGCGACGCAGCAGGACGGCACTTTGCTTGCGTCAGGGTTCCGTCGATGAAAGGAGCAAAGATTTGTGCTGAACCAGGAACCCTGGTGGTGAAGAGGAAAAAGGGCCGGTGCCGCCTAGTAGCTCGAAATGGAGCCGCGAGCGTCCAACGGTTTGCGGAAAGAAGGTGAGACTTTTGACTAGCAGAAGCGGCAGTAAAATGTTCAGGTGATGAATCTAAAATTCGGTAGCTTGCGCTGGGCTACTGTCGACAAATCAAACACGCACCAGGTGGCGTGCGGCTGGCGGGTGGCAAGTTGTGTGGTTGCGCCTGGTGAGAGCCGATGATGTGTCAAACAGAGATCAAAACGGTGCTCTTTGTGAACTCACACAACACTTTTCCATCCTCTCTCCCCTCATATTTGCTGTCTCTCATCCATATTAACGCCTTCGCACACTATTACAGCGTCCCTATTCAGAATTCGGTTTCTCTACAATACACCAGTCCGTCAGCCCTGACATGTCGCGTCGGCCGGGCGCCAACTACATGTTTTCTAGGTTCTAGGTCCTACCCACACTTGGCATCTGCTGACACTTCCATCTGAATACTGTCTTTACGGGCCCGATCAATCTCTTCAGCTCGTCGGTATTTTCGGAGGGTGTACCAACGGCAGTGGAACCTGCGCCCTCATCGGAGCCCGAACTGGCCAAGAATGCTTGTCCTGGCTTGGAGTGGGTTGTCCATCCAGAGACCACACTGTCTCCGAAAAAGGAAATCAACTGTGCTGATGCCTGTGTCCCATTTATACAATTATAGGTCGGTTCCTCGCGACTTTGACTGCCCGCGACTGACGGCGACGGCTCGAGATCTCCACGACCTAGAAGCAACGGACAGTGTACAAGGTAACTTGCTCGTGTGAGCGAGTTCGGGATCGCACAGCAATATAAAAATTCTCCGAAAAAAACCGCCTGCAGAGCCGTGCATATCCGTCAACGCACTTTCTACGTGCATGTCCTACCCTGAATGACTGCAAGACCTGCGTATACAGTACTCAGCACTGTATACTATATGCCGTACCAATACGTACCAATAGCCACCTGCCTGCCCTTCCACTCTCTATTCAGCCTCCATACAGTATGCAAGCCATGTACCATCTAGTTATTGTCTTGGAGCAATAACTAGTCTCTCCCGTTCACCGCGAGATTGCCTGGTCCACTCGCTTGCTTGTGGCTAAACCCTCAGGGCCACATAAACTCAAATAACGCGGTCGAATCCCATCCAATAGCACAAGCCCGGTTGGCTAAGTGGTATAGCGTCTCACTAGTATTAATACGGTGAAATGAGAAGATCATGAGTTCGATTCTCATACTGGGCTTCGTTTTTTGCCATTACGGCCACCCAAACTTTTTGCCACTTCGCGCTTTAAATTGTTATTAAGAGTAGTGCTATTAGCACGAGAGCTTTTTGCTAAGGGCATAGGCCTCGCGTAATAAGGAAATTATAAGGTACTATAGTTAATTAGTATAACCCCAGTACCTACTAAGAACTAGCAAATTTAGTATTTTAAAGGCTGTTATGGCTATATAAGAACGCAATTATATATATCTTAATAGCTGCAAAAGGGTGTTTTTTTAAGCGAATTAGTAACTATTAAGAGGCTTTAAGACCTCGGCGGCAGCGGCAGTGGCAGCGGCGGCGCGACCGATAATAGTGCCCTGCACAACCACCAACCACTCTCAAATTTGTCAAACTACACCATCACTCTCAAACGAAAATGCCATCTTCAAAATCGTCTACTAGCCCCCCATGTATTCTGATGAAATCAAAAAAGCTACCTCTGTCGCTTCGAATACGTATGTGGGCTGGTCGATACGTCTACTTTGGCAAAAACGAATGTGGAATGGACAATGTTCTACGCCTTCCATTTGGCAAAATTGTCAAATTTCGCACTACCTGGAACGAGGTTCAGGCTATGGAGTATGTTCGCAAACATACCTCAGTACCCGTTCCAAAGATTTACAAAGTATTCGAGCGGAATGATTCTTATATTGATATTGTCATGGAATATATTCCCGGCGACAAAGCAGACTTTACTGCCATGAGCGCAGAGGAAATCCAGAAATTGGGTGAGCAGCTTGCCAACTACCTGGACCAACTGCGAAGCCTCGAACCACCTGAGCCGGGCTTTATCGGATCGGCAACTCAAGAGTCATTGCTAGACCATCGCCTTGGCCATTACCGCTTCGGGCCCTTCCACTCTGTCGCCGACTTTCATGCCTACCTCCGCTTTGGCGGAGCTCTTGAGGAATGGCTATATGATCCAGTGGTCAAAAAGATTCACGGAAAGTCAAGCGAGTACCAGGTTAAATTCACCCATGCCGATCTGAACCCTAAAAATATTCGGTACCGAAACGGACGCATTACTGCCATTATCGACTGGGAATGTGCAGGCTGGTACCCTGAGTACTGGGAGTACACAAAGATTTGGTTCGCTGATCACGCTGTGTACCAAAATTTCCTCGATGCAGTCGATGGGAGCCCAAGAATCACAAATTATACCGAGGAGCTTCAAGCTGAGCGGGATATCTGGCGGCGTATCAGTCCCTGGAGGTATGATAGCTTCTATGGTAACCCTAAAAGCATGGCTGCATTTAAAAGATCCATTGCACGCACGCAGGAAACGCAGGGTCGGCCTGGTGAAAGCGCAGCTGCTGATAGTTGAGATTGTTTGGTGCCGGGACCGACTCGTGCAATTGCATAGCAAGACGATTATTGCCAGGGGAAGGCGCGTGGGCTCATTACGAGAGAGCCATCATGGCTTCACCGTTGGCGATTTACCCTCATGTCGAATAAGGCTCCTGGCTGAGCTCTTCAACCGCAAGCCGTTTGTTGGGATCCATCTCGAGCAGTCTGAGGATGACAGGCACGTATCGGCTCTTCACATCTTCTGGAAGGTCGTTGATCAAACAGTCCTGACCCGCTCGTAGCTCGTCCAGGGCAAGACTATACTCTTTGAGTAACCCCTCGTCATTACATCCAATTGAGCGTCGGAAGCGGAGCGACCCGGTCAAGATAAAGTAGATCTAGAGATATTAGACTTGAAGAGAAAATGAAGTGGCTGAATGTCTACAGGTAGCATACCAAATGGCCGAGATACCAGCTATCCGCCTTGAATGGCAGAGTGGTTTGTTTCTTGCCAGAAAGAAGCTCAGGTGGAGGCAGGCCCCCCTTTGGAAACTGATATGAGGTATAGCAAGCACCTTTTCTAGGTATAAAAGAATAACCAAAGTCGATTATCTTGATGCCACTCGGGCTAAAACCTGTATCTTCCGGTTCAGAGACTCGTTGTGGCATCCACGGAGGTGGGAGGCTTCCGTCGCTGAGACGCACGTCATGTTCCAGCGGCGGTTTAGCAAGGAGTCTCGCCATATGATGCTTGTTTGGCGGTTCAAGGGTGATGTTCCCAGGGTGAAGATCTCAAGGAAGTTAGCAAGTGATAATGGCTTAAGACTGCGCTACCTACCAGCATGCACCACACCAATGCTGTGCAGATCAGACACACCCCTGATAATTTGGCTGATATACCTTAGTCGGCGGTCCAACGTCAATGGAATATCTGGATTATCGTCATGATATTCGCCCGCGTCGTGTATGCGTCCCATGCAGGTCCCCATCAACGGGTATACGATGGCCTGAAAAGTTATATTTCCAAACCTACGCGGCGAACTTTGGCTAAGGTGATGAGGAATAGAGAATTGATGTCGTAGCGAGGACACGAAAGGGCTTTTGCAATGTTGCTGAATATACTTGATCATTCTCAACTCTTTGCTGTCACCGCGGGAAAGGAATTTGATCGTCAGGAAGTGACTAAGACACAATCAGCGTCTAGCCCCGAGCGTAGCCGAAAATGTAGTCGCGGACATACTCGGTGCTGGGATCTCTGGTTAACCAGCACCAGCTTCCTACTCGCCGCAAAAGCGTATAACCATGATATAAGTCGTTCCGATATACAACGGGCTGCAGTTGTTGATCCCAGCAATCCAGAAGATATAAATCTTGCCAGTAGTTACCACCGTGGGTAAATACCTTATATTGATTATATAATAATGGCGGGGATTTGTATGAAAGTCGCCGCATAGTCGTCATGGTTCAGCGCTGTGATAAGAACGATACTCGGATGAGGGTTCGAAGATGGGCGGGCAAGGGATGGAGGAGCGAAGCAGGTTTGAAGCTCCAGCAGTTGCCTCATTATTGCTCCAGAAAAGTGGGTCGTATACTTGCCTTATTCCGAGTCATTGGAATCATAATTGCCCTCGAAACCTTTGGGATATTTATGATAATATATGTTTATCATTGCTCGTAAAATGGTATCCCCACCCCGGGTACCCAATGACCCTAAATAGTAGCCAACCTGGCTGTTTACGCAGGTTTTCTCGATTTTTTGGACTCTAATTCCGCGACCCCAACTTCCATTTCCTCGTCTGGAACCTTGGTATCCTGGTATTGAGGTCGGAAATCTTCGTCCTCTACGCCAACTTCCATCCATACCTTGCTTGTCTCAGGAACAGGAAACAACTTGCAAAGCGCAATGTAGATGCCAACTGAAACACCAAATCCAGTGAAGAAATTGACTTGGAAAACGTACATTGCGCCCTGAGGAACGATGGCACCGACGGCGCCCGCAAAGCCGACGACGTTGATGAGGATACCACAGATGTAGGCAGTATAGGCACGCCAGTTGACACCATACGTGTAGTAGTATGGACCCGTCTTTCGGGCGTTGTATAAGTCGTTGACGCAAAGGAAGCCCTTACGCACAAAGTAGTAGTCTGCCACAATAACACCGGTAATAGAGCTGAGGAACACGCTGTATGCCGAAAGGTAGGTGGTAAATTTGCTCGAGGAGCCAATGAAGTTGTATGGGCACATGGCCAGACCGACGATGGCACAGATGTAGCTACCACGTCGAATGTCAATGTAGCGGGGGACAAGGGCAGCCAGGCTGGTACCCGTGGAGACGGAATTTGCAGAAATATTGGTACCAAGTTGAGCAAATGCTAGTGCGAACGCAATCATGAAGACGCCAAAGCGGTCTGCGGAGCCGCCATCATCGATGAACTTGCCGAGGAGAAGAACAGGATTCCAGACGTATTCACCGTAAATGACAGCGGATGACGACGAAACCAGAATGCCGTAAAGAGACGTGATGGCGAACGAGGTTGGAATAATAACTAGTTGTGGCCAAGCGGCGTGGGCTGGCTTGCGAGCAAAGCGGGTGAAATCGCTGGCATTCGCAATGAGCGTGGCAAAATTGCCGATCGAGGACATGACACCCTTGACTATTTCCCAAGCCAAGTCGGTGCCATGAAGACTGCTGGGCTGTTTGATAATAGGACCAGCTCCCTTGGCCCGAACAAGTGTCCAAATAAGGAAGGCAGTGGCACCAACTGGGGCAATCAACGCTTTTGCCGTGAACAAGTGTCGAAGCTTATGCACAGGAAACCAGAGCGCTGGAAGTGAAACCAGCCAAAATATGATGAAGGAGACGTATTCGGGGATATTTGTAGCCGATGTGCCGAAAGAACCAGGCATCTTGGCGGCATCCCACGAGGTCCATATGGAGCGAATCATGACGTAGACACACTGACCACCGATATACGCGACGACGCCGTACCAAACACAGGCTGTAGAAAGATTAGCGTTCATAAGTGACTGTCGAAGAAGAAAAAGAAACTTACACATGGCGGCACGATTGAATATTGGCCATGAGCTACCCCAAACACCAAATGAGGCGCGGCTGAGAGCAGGAAAGCTGAGATGGTAGATGGCGCCGATGCGACCACTTATGACAATAAAGACGGCAGAGATTGAATAGCCTATCCAGACACACAACCAAGCCTGCCACCAAGAGAGGCCACCGGCAATCATGGAAGAAGAAATCATCCAGGTGCCAATATTGACACTGTCAGCGATCCAGAAACCGACATAGTTCCAGGCGCCCCATATCCGACGTTGTTTCTCGACGGGCTTGAGATCAGGGTTGTAAAGCTGTTGGGGAGAAGCAAATTCGTCATGTGTTAGCGAATACGTCGTATCGAATGCTCCGATGACGCGAAAAGGGCGTTCGCACCATGAGCTGGGCCGAGGTCAGTCCGGGCTCGGTCTCAACGGCGAGCTTATCAGCCCAATACTTGATTTGCCCCATAAGCGACATGATTGTGGGATTGGAAGACGAAAAGACAGGAGATGATATTTCTGGAAGAAGGAGAACTCGGTGGTTTGGTCAATGCCGAAGGGTAGGGGCCGCCACGGAAGATGATCAGAGGACTAGTTGGACTGATTTATTCTGGAGCCAGGCAGTGAAAAGCTTCCATTGGCGTTGAAGGAAGCTGCAGGGCTGTCTTGGTGGACGGGAGGCGATATGCCGAGATTGGATCAACGAGGAGGGGCGAGCCTGGTCTATTTATCTACAACATTGTCCAGGACGGAGACGCGCAACGGACACTCTTGTTCGAAGGTGATGCGACAGGCCGGTCGGGAGGCTTGGCCACGGCCAGGTCCGAAGGGGCTTTCTTCAGCCACTTGGCTTCATGGCGTCGTGCTAGAATCAACTAGTGTGGCTCGGGGAACTCTAACTGTAGCTGGATGGGAAAGATTCGGGATCTAGGATCTATGTACTGTAGAGGGGATGTGGTGGCAGGCAGATAACTATAGACGACCCTGTTGGCGGAGTGCGGCACATGAGTGGGCTGACGACCAAGGAAGTTGATAAGAGTGGATAACTGCGATTGGGAGAGAGAGAGGCAAGCGTGAGAAACGGAGACAGAAGCAACTTAATTGAGCATGAGCATAATGATGGCTGGTTGCAAAGTGAGTGGGCTCTGGGTCTTGAATGTGTGCAAGGGCCAACCTCGGAATACGGAAAGCCAAGACCTGAGCCTGTGATGGGAGGATTCGATTTATCTCCCCCGCATTTTCTGCACCCGCCGCCTTGGCAGGTCTGCGATAAGTAAGTAGCGAGATAAGTTATGGTTGGTGACTGACTTATTAGTAGTGTGAGCGCGGAGGACTGGGACTCATAGGGATATTTGAGGCATGGAAAGCAGCAGCCACCGCCGTCGGGTATTTAGCTAGGAACGGCTTCTAATCAGACTGGCTATAACTACTGATTTGCTTCATTTGACCGTGAGTGTGAATGACGCTTTACGTTATGCATGAACTAGATGCCATACACCAACGCCCGTGAGATCCGCCGAGGGCGGGCGCTGTCATGCTGGGGCTTTTGGCTCGATTTTCCATTACTCGATAGAATTGAGCAACTTCGCTTGTTAGGGCGGTGGCGCCCGCGCTATGAGCGTGCCGTGGGGGGTGGTGTTGCGGGTGGCTTTTTGTTTGGAGATGGATGGCGTCGACAGTGCGGGGTGCACTCGAGTACCAATTTGGCATGCAGGGGCAATGGTCAGAAAGAGGACAAAGGTGAATGCTGCTGCAAGGGCTTACTTTTGTGGCCGTGCTTTGCGGAGTTGGCCGGACTGTAACTACCTAGTGATAAAGGTAACAGGGACGGGCCGGTGAATGTGTTCACGCACAGCTTGGAGAGAACTGGTGTTTGGGCGCTGTTAGAATGCCGCTGCACTTAGGTTATGACGTTCAATACCAATAATGATAGACTGGCTTGCAACCCTGAAGTAGGTGGGTGGACAAGGCCATCCCTCTGAGTGACGTGGGTGAGTATATACCACGTATAGAGATACCATTCATTGTCACTTTCGTCGAAAGTCTCATTGGCTTCCTCGTCGTCTCTTGGGCTCCGTCTCCTGGGTAGCTATTAACTGGCTGTTAACTTCCATGTCTTGACTGGTGTTAGCTTTCGGCCGTCGGTCTTGCTCTATGCATAGGACGAAGCTAATAAAAGTTGGTCATGTATTTCTAGGCACCGCGAGCCGATGGGTGGCTATCTGGTCGTCTATTTATAGTATAACCATAGGGGCCGAGGTATTCGTCCAGGTCTGCGATGACGTTGTCAGGCGGGTACCAAACGTTCAGGAGGGCCTGGTCAGCCTCATCTTGCCGGATGCTCAGCAGTGTTGTGCTCAGATGATGGAATCGATCTTTGTAACGCGGGAACTACTTGGTTGTGGATGAGATGGATGAGATATGGCAATTGGCAACTGTGACCCCGCCAACGCCGCCACTCAAGCTCTAGGTACTGTACCTGTAGTACGGTACTGTACCTGTAGTACCTACCCTGTACCTGTAGTACACCTGTACCTACTAACCTAGGTACCTATTGTATTGCCCCGCCGTCCAATTGCTGTTGCCCTGCAATTCTGCGCCTCCTTCCCCCATCACCGCCCCATTCACGCGTCTCATAAAGTTGCCGCTTTTTTTTCTTCTTTCCCAACTCAACCTCTGTGTGTTGATAGCCAAGGTATTCGCCAGCTCCTTTGCATCCGACAACGCGGCTCCTTGTGCTTTTTCATTTATTTCATCTTTGGCATTTTGCCTGCGACGACTTGCCTTCCCCCAGTCTCGCACCATATCTTGTTTCGCATGCAAACCGCATCTCTCCCCGCCTCGACACCCCGCCACCCATTCACCATGGAGGATCAACTTGTGCAGCTGCTCGCGGCTACCTCGCTGTCGGACCAAACTCTGCGCATTAATGCCGAGATGGAGCTCAAGAGAGCCCAGACGAACCCATCATACTCATTGTCCCTCGCCAGAATTGCTTCTCACACTTCTGTCGACATTGCCACTCGCCAGCTCGCTCTCAGCACCCTGCGTCTCTTCATCGAAAGCAACTGGCCCAATGACTATTCTAATGTCGAGCCCCCGATTTCCATTTCAGAAGATACTAGGCAGCTGGTTCGACAAGCTCTTCTGGACCTGGCCCTCAGCGGCGAAGATGATCGCAAAGTCAAGATTGCTGCTAGGTATGCCGCGACGTCAACCAGTCTTTATAGCCATGTAGCCTTCGTTTTCTCTTCCATCGATACTGACACGACTCTCAAGTTACGCTGTCGGAAAAATTGCGATCCACGACTTCCCCGACCAATGGCCTTTGCTCCTACCCACCGTCCTGGCTGCCATCCCCAACGGCAACGACTCTCAGTTACACGGCGCGCTTCGAGTCCTCGGCGATCTTGTTGAAGAGAGCTTGAGTGAAGACCAGTTCTTCACAATGGCAAGAGACATCGCTAGCACACTGACTCAGATTGCCATCAACGAAAACCGAAAACCTCTGATCCGATCTCTTGCCATTTCCGTCTTCCGTGGATGCTTCGACCTGATGAACATGGTCAAGGAAGACCACGCCGCTGAAGTCACTGCATTTGCCGAAGAACTTCTCAAGGACTGGAACCCATTCTTTCTCGCTGTTCTCAAGAGCCGCCTTCCCGACGCCGATACTAGCGCTGCCGCCCAACCGACCGAATGGAACAGCATCATCTCCCTCAAGCTCCAGGTCGTCAAGACTTTGCTTCGCATCCGCCGTGTCTTCCCAAACCTCTTGCTTCCCCAGAGCGCTACTCTCTTTACTGCTGTTTGGGAAGAGCTCATGAGCCTGCTGCCAAGCTATGAACAGCTCTATATCGTCAACGATGCTCAGGGCCGTCTCGAGGATGTTGATAACATTCCATACACTCTGGACTTTTTGGTCCTCGAGGAGCTCGACTTCTTGAACCAGTGCTTCCGTGCCCCTCCAGTTCAAGCAGAACTCGACGGACAACTCAAAGCCTACCCGAATGCTCACCAAGTTCCTTGGATGGTTGACATCATGAAGCTCCTCGTAGGCTACTCACGTGTCGTCCGGGAGGAAGAAGACCTCTGGGATATTGACTGCTCTCTCTACCTGGCAGAAGAAACGTCGGTCACTGCCAACTACACTGCGCGAACTGCGGCCGGAGATCTCCTGATAAAAATGGGAGAATGGTTTAAGGACAAGACCATTGACGGACTGTTCGGCTTCACAAAGTCTCTGTTTCCCAGTGGCGGGTGGAGAAACCAGGAAGCTGCTCTTTACCTGTTTGTCATGCTCGCTGGGGATTTTCAAGATACCGACAAGGACATTCCCGAAGTCGTTGCTCATGCGTATCTTGAGCTCGTCGACTATGCCATCAATCGGGCCGGGGAGCCGCTTCTCCGCGCTCGTGGCTACCTCGTGGCCGGAATTTTGGGTCCGTCATACAACCCTCCGGCTATTCTTCTCGACCAGATCATCAACTCCATCAATACCGAAGAGTCGGAAGTTGTAAAGGTTGCTTGCGTCAAGGCAATCAACGACCTCATTGACGCGCGAAAGGTTCCCAGCGTCCGCCAGCTCTCCATCCTCAATGCTGTTCAGACGTACATGAACAGCAAGGACCCCGAAGAGATTGAAGAGGCTGATGAGTTGCTTGTCACACTGACCGGCGCTGTTCGTGCTGCCATTAGCCTTAACCACCAGATTGCGCTGTCTGAAGAGGTTCGGGCGGTCGATCTTTTATTTCTTCTCGCGAAACTCGGATCAAGTAACTTTCAAGTCTCCATTCTTGTGACTGAGGCTTTCGAGGAATTGCTCATTACCTTGTCTGACCACGATTCCTACTCACGTCTTTGTGCGCTTGTTATCCCAACTCTTACTGCAGCATTCGATGTTGGCAACGTTACTGCCGATAGCCCCCTTATATCCATCGCTGTCGAATTGCTTGCTGTTATGGCTGAAAATGCCCCAAGCCCGCTCCCCGAAGGCTTTATTGCTGCAACCCTGCCCAAGCTCAGCGCCCTGTTGATGCAGTCCACAGAAGGCGACATTCTTCGATGTGGATCTCGCACCGTCAAGTTTATGCTTGTGCACGACCATCAGCAAGTCCTTAGCTGGCAAGATGCTAACGGTCGATCCGGTCTAGAGGTCTGCCTTCACATTGTCGACCGGTTACTCGGTCCCACCATAGAAGACAACTCTGCTTCTGAAGTCGGCGGTCTCGCCGCCGAGCTTGTGGAAAAGGCCGGCCAAGAGCGCTTGGGTCCTTTCCTTTCACAGTTACTGCTAGCTGTCGCCAACCGTTTGGCCGTTGCTCAGTCTGCTTCTATGATCCAGTCCCTGATCCTCGTCTTTGCACGCTTGTCTCTGACTGGTGCTCAAGATGTCGTTCAATTCCTAAGCGAGATTCAGATTAACGCCGAACAAAACGGTTTACAAGTTGTCATGTCGAAGTGGCTGGAAAACTCTGTCAGCTTTGCTGGCTATGACGAAATCCGGCAAAAGTGAGTCCTGCCTGGCATGCATATTTTTGCACTTGCTAACAACGAATTATAGCGTCATCGCCCTCTCTAAACTTTTTGCACTCAATGATGTTCGTCTGGCGGAGATCCCTGTCAAGGGTGACTTGATTGTAAATGATGACGGGATGATCAAGACACGCTCGCGCGCGAAGCAAAGTATGTTGATGTGGATCACCGATTTGAGCAGGCATTAACAATTGTGACCAGATCCTGACAAATTCTCGATTATTCCCGCTCAACTAAAGATCATCAAGGTTCTAATCGAAGAACTCTTGTCTGCCTCGGGAGTCCGTTCTGCTGCCAACATCGCTTCAGCAGCTGTAGCCAACGCTGCCCAGTTTGATGAAGACGGTGGTGAAGACGACTGGGAGGACGATGAGACTCTGGACTTGACTTTGAACTCCGTGAAGGGTGACCTGATGTCCTTTATGGAAAATGGTGGTCAGCGTCTAACTGATGACGAGACCCAGGCTTACCTCACAGACTTCTTTATCCGCGCTTCTCGAGAGAACATTGGCGGGTTCAATCAGTGGTATCCCAAACTCGAGGAGGAGGAGCGACAGAAGCTGAATGAGCTAGCCACTTCGGCACAGTAGAACGGGTGTCCGTGGAACGAGTCTGCAAGGCCCTTCAACGCAGCGTCCACGCACTATGCTCCAATTTTACCCGCCTCAAGCGCTGCGATATAAATTTGTTGAAGCCTTACCAGAGAACCGGAGTCACCAGTATACCTACGAAGCGAAGAAAAAAAAACCCCACATGAAAGCAACATGTTCTTCTGTGCGTCATGAACCGTGCCAGTTTGGCATAAGCAAGCATCTGAATCACGGCAGATAGGGGAGAATAGAGTCTATAGCAGACTGCCCAAGCTTAATGAACGATTGATTATATTACTATGAGTTGCGATGGGCCGGTGCATAGCATCAAATCCGAATACCTGTGTGTTATTGCCGACCGTATTGACTATCAATACTCGTCCCATAAAATTCACATTGTATCTCGTCTGTCGTATCGTCATAAAAATAAAAGTCCCCCCTAGTGGTTCTGGTTCTGGAGACTATACCAATTTTCTGCGTCTCATGCTGGTTAAATGATTCCACCACCGCCGCCGAATGGATGGCCACTGCCGCCAAACGGATTGCCACCTTGGGGTCCATAGTAACGCTGCTGGCGGCGGGGTCCGCCATCAGGGCCGACGGGGTCGCCGCCAGGGCCGGGAGGGTCATATCGGGCTCCGGGCGGCACCTGAGGGTCGAAGTCGATGCCACCACCGCCGCCCGAACCGGCGCGACCTCCTTGACCCGTAAAGAGCGGATCGTCAAAGGACGGGTGCATGCCGCCGAAGCCACCGCCGCCCAGGCCGGCGGGCAGCCCAGATCCGCGAAGGGGGTCGTGGGGCCCGAGCCCCGGCGGGTGCAGGTCATCGTGACCTATATTGAGGGGAGGCATGGCAAGCCCGCCCGTCATGCCGCCAGGAGGGCGGTTGATGTCGTATTCGTCGTCGAAGCCGGGCGGCAGAAACTCCCCGGTGGGCACGCTGGGGCGGGGCCGTGCCGCCTCGGGCAGCGGGCCAGCTCGCGGGGCGGGAATGTCGGCCGCCGAGGGCTGTGCGTGGCCCGGAAAAAGTCTGTTTAGGTCTTGGCGCTCTTGCTGGAAACGTTCCTCGCGCAGCCTGCGCTCGTCAGCAGCGTCATCCGCACGCGCCTCGACGGCGGCGGCGGCGGCTGTGGCGGCGGTGGCAGTTGTGCCGAGCAGGTTTTGTACAATCTTGGCGCTAACATCCTGGATAAGGCTGGTGATTGCGGCATCGGAGACAAAGACGCGACGCAGCGTCTCGACGAGGTCCTGGCGGTTGCCATTGTCCCTGCCTTCACCGTCGAGGGTGATGCGCACGGGCAGGCCGCTGGACTGGACGACGTCGCGGACGGCAAGGTCGAAGCGGTGGATGGTATTGCTCTCGGAAGAGGAGGAGGAGGAGGAGGAGGAGGAGGCTGTTCCGCGAATCTCGACTCTGGCACCCATCTTATCGACGCGGAAGACGTAGTTGGTCTTGTCGGACGGCTGCTGCTCGTGGGTGTAGACGAAGCCGAGGGAGCCGTACCCTGCGTTCCAGGAGGCGGGGAGGCGGGGAGCGAGAGACTGGCACTCGGCTGGAGGAGGAGTTAGCCAACGTGCGTTTGGAAGCTGGGGGAATCATTTTCGGAGCCGACGTACCTAGTGGCCTATCCTCGTGGAAGCCGATGAGCTTAAAGCCCAGCTCTGAGAGGTAGGAGTGCAGGAGCAGGCCGATGGCCTCATAGGAGCTGGCCAGGTCGGACGAGTCGTCACCCTGTGTATGTGTAGGCAGGGCCCTGGCCATGCCCTCGAGGACCGATGTTGTGCTGATGGCCGACATATTGGAGGTGCTGTCGATTGGTGGTTGTGGCGGGGTTGTGACGGGCAGAGTGAGGGGTAAGTCTGGATGGATGGGGCGGCCGCTGAGCGCGCAAAGGGGTATCAGTGAATGAAGGCGTTTCTGCAATGGGGAGGCTGTTATGAAAAAGGACGTGGCGGTTGATTTTGATGGCAAGTCGATGGCGAAGGAGGTGGGTCGAGCTGTTGGATTTATAGATGAAGGAGGGAAGAAAAGTGTGGCAGATGAAGGTCCGGGGATTTCGTCATGCCTTGTGCTGCCTTGCAGCTTCAGCCCTATATGTGGATCGTAATCTGTAGAGCGTCTGTATGGTTACATAAGACCGTAGCGCAGCTAACACAGCTTATAAAGGGATAAGAGAAAGCAAAAATAAAAGAGAAATTAGCCTTATATTAGATAAAGCTATAAGGGAAAACTAGTAACTATATATATCCTATTTCCTAGCTTAAAGACTATATTATTTAGAATTATAAATAACTTAAATTATCTACTTATTTATACATTATTAATATATAAGAAAAGTCTCCTTATTCAGGTAGTACTCTATATAATATATCTTTTAATTATGAAATATATATTAGTATAAAGAGTATATCTCCTACTGAATCCGGTGGTAAACGTTGCCGTCTTTGGTGGGGGAAACTGGTGGGGCGACTGCCATTTTTGGTTGTGGCACCGCACCCCTCCATCGTCGTTTACGTGCACACCCCGCCCGCCTGCCTTGTCGAGCTGCTGAGGGACGTGGTCGAATGTCGAGGCGATCCCGGACAGGCTACGAGCCAGGACAGCATCCGGCGGCCACGGGCGTCGACGATCCAGCGCAGCGCACGGGTTTCGCAGGCAGAAATCTCGAGCAGGGAGGCGGCGCAGAATATCCTGGCCGTGAGCCCATATGCAGCCTTGCCTTGTCTCTGGCAAGGGTGTACAAATTAAACAAGCAAACAATACTTTACATACATGACACTTTGTGGATCTCTCGCCCTGGTGCTCTCATCAACAAAGAGAATAGCATTAATAATGTGACTTGATTACAAATGCGCCTTTGGAGAGTTCTATCGCCGATCACAACAAGCCGAGACCCGACTTAGACGGATATAGTACGGTCACAGCCCGACTCTGTGGGAATCTGGCCCTTTTCAACATAATTCATTTTCTTTCTTTCTTCTTTTTCCCTTCTCACGACCGTTTTCCGCATCAACTGCTGCTCGGGAAAAAAAATGTCCCAAACCACCGGCGCCAGAGAAGAGCTGTCGCGCGAACGGCCGGACGAGGAACTGGTGCCGCCGCAAGAAGCACCGCCGCCCGAGAAGGAGACCGCGAGCGCTCCCAACACGGCCAAAGGCCGTGAGATTCGCGGCCTGCGCTGGCTCGTCATCTGCGCCTCCATCTACATCACCTGCTTCCTCTACGGCCTCGACACCACCATCGCGGCCGACGTCCAGGGCCCCATCATCGCCGCCTTTGGCCATGTCGACCAGTTCTCGTGGATCGGCGCCGGCTTCCCGCTCGGCTCCGTGTGCGTCATCCTGCTTCTTGGCACGCTCTACAACACGTTCGACATGAAATGGGTCTACGTCGCCGCGGTGCTGCTCTTCGAAGTCGGCTCGGCGCTCTGCGGCGCGGCCCCGGACATGAATGCCCTCATCGTCGGCAGGGTCATTGCCGGGGCGGGCGGTAGCGGCATCTACCTGGGGTCCCTGCAGTACTTTGCCGTCGTCACCGAGGACAAGGAGCGCGGGCTCTACATGTCGCTCATTGCCGTCTTTTGGGGCGTTGGCTGTGTGCTCGGCCCGCTGATCGGAGGTGCCTTTGCTACATCGGCGGCAACATGGCGCTGGGCCTTTTACATCAACCTCGTCATCGGCGCCGTCTCCGCCCCGGCCTTCTTGCTCTATCTACCGTCCATCTGCCTGATGCAAGGCGTCAGTCTGCGTCGTCGTCTCGCCTCCATAGACTTTCTTGGCTTTATCCTCGGGTCTGGCGTCTGGGTCAGCTTCCTGCTCGTCTTCACCATGGCCGGCGCCCAGTGGCCGTGGAAGGACGGCCGCACTATTGCCACGTTTGTGGTATTTGGCATAGTTTTAATTGCCTACGTACTACAGCAGTACTTTGCCATCCTTACTACACCCAGTCAGCGTGCGTTCCCGGGTCATCTGCTTCGAGACCGTACCCAAGTACTGCTCTATGTAGTAACAGCTGCCGGCACCACTACGCTATTTGTTCTCGTTTACTACCTGCCGATTTACTTCCAGTTTGTCAACGACGACGGGCCCTTGATGGCCGCCGTACGCCTCCTGCCTTTTGTGGTTATCGCTGTGGCTGTCAACCTGGCGTCGGGATCACTGCTACATATGATCAAGCGCTACAATGCCATCTTCTTCATCGCCAGCGTGTTCTTGCTGGCGGGTGGCGGTCCTCTTGTTACCTACCTGAAGCCCAGCACTACCACCGGCACCATCTACGGGCTGTCAATCCTCGTCGCCGTCGGCAGTGGTTTGTCTATGGTGACGGGCTACACGGTGTCAACCCTCACTACTAAGCCGGAGGATACCGGTGCTGGACTTAAAATGCAGAACGTGGCCCAAATCGGCGGGCAGGTTATCGCTCTCGCCGTCGCTGGACAAATTTACCGATCACGCGCCTTGGCCAATCTTCAGTCGACGCTGGCTGGCCATAGCTACTCGGAGGCCGATATCGCGGGCCTTGTAGCTGGCACACAGAGCAAGCTATTCGAGACGCTACCGACCGAGCTACGGCTTAGGGCTGTCGATGCTATCGCTCAGGCCATGCAGATGACTTTTGTTCTGGTTCCTACTGCTGGTGCGATTATGCTGATTACGTCGCTATGTATGAAGCGGGAGAAGTTGTTTGGCGGCGGCATGGTTGCTGTCGGTGGTTAATCTGGAGCTAGGCTCGATAGACTTTGAGAGTGGTAGATGCGTGGATGTACTAGGATTAATTAATTTTCTGCTGTTCCGCCTAGGTATGGCTTTTTGTTATCTCTGATGTTGTGGAAGTAGACCTAGCAAACTAGGAAGATATGTTGAGGATACAGCGGCTTGCCGCAGCTTATATCATATGCTTGATTAGAATTAATTAAAGGGTAAACCAAATCGAAATAATGCTATGAGATAGAGTCCTTTAACCAATCGCAGCTGCTCTAGCGTATGTTTAGGGCATTAGACAAATATTAGTGCGCTGCGTGGGAATAACATCGATCGGTAAGCCCCGGGGTATTGTAGCTCTCTAGAGCCCACATAACCTCCACAATACATCATCATCACCCTCTCTGCAATATAGCATGACAGCGTCCTGTGAGATGGGATTTCTTAGTACACCCTACCATGCATGGCCGGTCATCCGTTCTGATTGCATGCTACGCTGAAAGTCAACCTTCAGCGAAGGGCGGATGTGCAACAAGCCACGCTCTGGCGGCTTACCTCCACCAGCAAACTGCTGGACGCTTAAGAGCTCCCTCGCCGACGGCAGCCGAGCCAAACCACCCACCTCGGACATGCTACTCTATTAGAGAATTACAGAGGCAAAGAGTTGGAAGGCAGCAAGTAAGGAGACATCAAGGAGAGCGTCAGAATGGCCAGTAAAAGGCAAACAGAAAGGCGCTGTGCGGGCTGCCGAGGGACCTGAAAAGAACGAGCTTTGGGGAGCCGGATATTTTGGGAGGAAGGCTGCGAGTGCTTGCGTATCACAGTCTCCAACTCGACGTTTCTCTGGTCAAAACTAAGGAAAGCTAGCTAGTTAGCTAGCATATGTCGACAATAACCGTCGCGCTGGTCTGCCGCTCTCCACGCATCGCGCCGTGCACAAAGCAGTAGCCTCGAATGCGAAAGCGACCGTCACCATTGGCTCGCAACACCAACGGATACGTGCATCCAAGGGGGACAAACACGACGTCGCGTGGCGCGACGGGGGCAATGCAGCAGCCAGGGCTCCTAGATTCGTCGTCCAGGATGAAGAAGCTCGACTCTGGATACTCAAAATCCCAGACCGGTTTACCAAATACAGTGTCATGGCCTTCTTCCTTGGGGTCTGAAAAGGCCGAGCCGATGTACTTGGCAAAGTCGTCATGGTGCAGAACCGACTTGAGATAAACGACAAAATTCCTTGCCAATGTAGCTTCCTCGGCTGGCTGACACGTCTCGTCCTGTCCGTAGCAGAAGGACGTCGCGCACGCGACAAGTGTATCCTCGGACAAGGGCAGCTCACCGGTCCCGGTAGCGGCCAATAGATCGAGAAGTCTTTGCCACGTCTCTGCCACGTGGGACGATTGCCCGCCGCCCCGAAACACCGTCTCGTAGTACGGTTCGGCGGCCTGCACGGCGCCCAGGTAAAAACCCTCGAGCGACAGGATATAGTTGTCCCGATCCACGGTCCAGCGCGCTTCCGACCCCCCCGCCGGCCTCCAAGGCATGGGGTTCCCGAACCGAAACGGGTTCCGGAACAGCATGGCCTCGTTCCAAAACGGGATCCACGACGGCCGGCCCTCGACGGCCGCGACGTACAGCAGCGCATTGGTGGTTTTGTAGTGGACCAGCGACGCCTCCACCACGTCGCGATACACTTGCAGTGTCGTCTTGCTGTAGTCTGGATCGAGCAGCCGGCCGCCGTCGCCGCAGTCCATCATTCCCCGCAGCCCGTACACCACATCCCGAGGATCGGTGGCCGCAAAGTTGGAGGCGAGGTACAACACATGCAGCCAGTTGCCCGCTTGGCGCAGCTCCGACGGTGCCGTCGACGCCCACCAGCAAAACGCATCACTAAAGTCGCACGTTGCCGGCGCACCGCCGGCGCCGGCAAAGGTGGACGCGAGCACCACGCACCCAGCGACGAGCTCGACCGCGTCCCACGAGACGGCATGCGGCCCGCACAACACAATCCGACGGCGGTTGGCGTTGATCTCCTGGATGACCCAGACGCGCGTAAAGTAGGCGTGCTGGTAGAACCAGAGAACCGCGGCCCACGGGACGAGGTCGTCGTCGTCGCCCGGCAGCAGGGTGACCAGGCGGTCGCGGTGCTGAAAGAGCACGCTGTGATAGACTTGCTCCACGGACGCGAGACTGTCGAGGGTGATGCCTAGCTGCTGGCAGGCGTGCTCGGCGATGCGCTGGACGCCTCGGACGGCGTCGGCGGCCTGCCGGCCTTCGTTGTCAGGCCCCAGCCAGATGACGACAGAGGTGGCGGTTTCGAAGATGCGACGCATCTGGCGGACCTGCGCGCCGCGTTCGGGAATATCAGACTGGTTTGTGCTTTGCAGGTCGGTAAGTTGGGCAAGATCACCAGGGTTACCGAGAGAAGGAAGACTGCTTACCATATGGCGTCGACCCAGAGCACTCGGGGCGTTTCCTGGTGCCTCAAGTGAAACAGTGCGGTCTGGAGGTTTCTCGTCACTTTGAGTGTTCCATTGTGCACGAGAATTGGCACCTTCATGCTCGGATCTCCCCAAGCGTAGGATATGGCCTCGTACTGGCGCTCGTCGGACCACTGCACTTCTTCAAGAGTGCATCGAATCGGCTCATCCCCACGACCCGGCAATAGCGTCGCAACACGAAATGATGTAGCATGTTGCAGGCTCGAGTATTCGTATAGCACAGGAACTTCTCGTTGCGCCTCCATGTTGTCAGTTGCGGGGTATCCGCGACTTGGAAAATGTTCACCCCCCGCACTCGCACTCTTTAAGCGTTGGTTCGGGCGGAATAATTTCGCTATGATTCTTACCTACCAATCATCACATGCATCAGACAAGGCTACAAGGGCATATGCATAGTGGCGTTGTTTGAAGTGATGCTGGCTCACCTTGTCGTTACGGGTCCGAAGGAGTGCCACTTCCCCTCATTGCCCACTTGCACCTGCAACATCCATCTTCACCTCTCACATTGCGCCATCGTATTTACTAATCGCACACCTTTTCATACTTGGATTCTGACGCGAACTCCAGCAAAGACGACCAGGGCGCAATGACATCTGCGGTGGTGCCTCGCTTCAGCTTCATTTTCCACGCACCCGCCGCCGCCGTCGACGCCTGCAAGGCCGCCGTCTTCAAGGCCGGCGCGGGCCGCTTCCCGGGCCCCGGCGGCTACACAGAGTGCTGCTGGTCCGTCAAGGGCAACGGACAGTTTCGACCGGGCGACGCCGCGAATCCTGCCATTGGGTCTGTTGGTGCTCTGGAGTTTGTGGAAGAGGTCCGGGTCGAGACCATTTGCGTCGGCGAGGATGTCGCTCGGCGGGCGGTGGCGGCGCTGAAGGAGTGAGTACATCTCCAAGCTGTTGGAAAGGAGAATCAAATTCATCCTTGTTGCAGGGCACACCCGTACGAAGAACCGTCATACAAGGTGATGCGACTCGAGGATTTCTGAGGTTGAGCACTGCTGTGCACGTACACCATGGCCCTAACAAAGAGCACGTACCCAGTGCGAACAGTCAGCACCCAACACTCCATTTTAACTGAATATCCCGTCTGAAAGTCGTCATCTTATTTTCTCAGTGATTTCTTTCAGCTTATAGATACGACCTCTTTCAATAAACAAACAAGTATGCGGCACAAGTCAAGACTAAGACGGCTGTTGGCCGCTCGCCGTTGGTCATGAGAGCAATTGTCAGTTTAAAATAATCAATCTTGGGAGCTCCGGCAATCATCCACCTCAAGATTTCCTATATAATTCTCCCAATTCTTTTTTTCCACCCGTTTGTCATGTATAGATGTGCACCGAATGCAGTTGCTTGGCCAAGAATTCGCACGTGCACTAGCATCACCACTTTGGCGGAGCTCATTCACGACCAGGCGTACAACAACATTCCGTTTGCTACCACTATCAAAGCCGGCTCCGAATGTCCCCATGCCCGCGCCTTTGACATCTCCCAGACGCACTTTGACCATGTCGAGCCACGACTCCTGAAAACAAGACCAAAAAAAAAAAAACCCTCCATGACCTCCTCCATCAGCGCCTCCCAGGCCGGGCGGCTCCTCGCGTCCTTTTCCAGCTTCCTCACCGTCGCCGTGCACTCGCTGCTCTTCCACCGGGCGCTCTACCCGGCGCGCAGCTTCCTCGCCGCGCGCGCCTACGACCTGCCCGTGCACCAGTCGCGGCACCCGGGCGTCTGCGCCTGGGTCGCCGACGCCGTCGCCGCCGTCGCCGCCCAGGTCCGCGCCGGCTCCGCGCGCGCCGTCGTGCTCGCCGTCCACGCCCCGCGCTCCATGGCCGTGCTGGAGCGCTGGGTGTTTGACCTGCGCTCGTTTCCGGCCGCGTCCTGGGGCGACGTCGACGGGCTGCCGGCGGACGAGGGCGGAGGCGAAGAAGAAGGCGAGGCCGTGAACGGGACCGATGTCAAGGAGGGCCTGCGAGGGGCCCTGCGCAGGATCGCGTATGCGGCGGAAAAGAGCCCGCCGCTGCCTGCGGACTGCACGTTTACGCTCGCGGTCGAGTTGCGCGATGAGTCGGACGCGCCGATTGGGGTACGTCGGCTGAGACCTTTTGTTTTTGGCGCTTCTACACTGTTGGCCATCCAACTGAGTAACTGACTGCGACTAGCATCCCCAAGCTTGGATCCCGGCAGAGGCCACGTTCGGCAGCGCCTCTGAACGACAGGACATGAATACTGTGCCGATTCGCTCTGTGACAGCCGGGCCGCTCTTCTTTGAATGCTGGCTCGAGAAAAAGGCACCAACATCCGAGTCACAAGACACCTAATTCATGACCGCGACTTTTTTCGTCGACTACATTGGTTGCTACTCACGGCTACCACCCAAGATAGACGTGTCGGACACGTTGTGATCCATACCGAGAGCCTGCAAGGGCTTGGAAGCGTCTGTCGCTGAAGAATCCAGCCAGGAATGAAGTATCGCTCATAACATGGGAGCCCACAGACGCAGTCTAATTCACGTACGAATAAGAACCTTGATAGGCTACTAAAGAGTCTCTGATCTGAACGTGCTCAACTGTTTGACAGGCAGACTTCTGTGTCGGGTCCATTCGTGCCTGTTCAACGTCTAGTTGTGCTTTGCATGTCCATCACGGGACTTGGCGATATTTCCATCTGTCGGCATCACAGCTCAAGGCCAAGCACGTATATGACTGGTACAGATTTTGTAAAACACTTTGCCCATCTTCCGTGCCGTCGTCGTCTTGCCGGTGCCTGGTGGGCCGCGGAAGATGAAGTTGAACGGAACGTGTTCTTTGGGATCCAAGCCAAGGTTCTTTGTCGTGCGGGCCGTCTGCTGATAGCCCTGGAGCATGGCCACGATGCGCTCGCAGCCAATCGTGTCGCGAAAGAGTTGCGCTACATTGGTCTCGGCATTCTCTGTTCGACCGTGATCCTCGTCAAAGTCGAGGGCTTCCAAGGTGGACACTCGCAGGGTCTCACAAGCCGTCAGTCGCGTCTGGTGACGAGCCTTGGCACCGTTGAGGAGAATATCCACCTCACCAGCATTGCCAAAATTGGGACGACTGCGTGCGCGCTCGATCATATCCAGAGCGACCTGTTTAGCAGTTTGAGTCACCCCAAAGCCTTGCTGCTTGAGCTTCAGGTCCAGGATCTTGCTCATATCGGTCGGCCTGGGTAAAGTCTTCAAACGTAAACGCGGTGCTGAGCGGCAACCGTCGGCTGAGTCCAGGATTGACATTTTGGAACATTCCCTCCATCTGGTCCCGGTATCCCAGGAGGAGAACGCAGCGATTATCACCTGGGGTGCTGTGAACGTTGGCGACGATGGTGTCCATCACAGCCACCTTGTAAGGGTCCGAGAAGCCGCCGCCGCCTTTTGACGCAGCGCCGCCACCATAGAGCCCGTAGGCCTCGTCAATGACCAGGACCTTGCCCACCGTCGCAGCGAGGATGCCATTCGTCTGCTTCTCAGACTGTCCGAGCACGGCCCATCTGGGTTGTGTCCTCTAATTTTCCGAATCTCGGCTTGCAGTTTTGCGGGTATCTCAAACCTCTGCTCCGCATCGTCATCCTCCATCTGCAGCAGATGCTTGTCGAGCGGCAGCTCCGTGATTTCTCGAAGGCGTCGGAGGACAGGTTCATATGCGAATACAGGAGTGTCTACTAGGGTAGACTCCAAGTTCTGCGACTGTATAGCGTTGCTCAAGGCCTTCTCCATGGTTTCAGAGGAACAGAATGAGAGACTGAGCAGTGCAGGGTTTCTGACGAGGTCGTCAATGTTGCGGACCGCAAAGGCAAAACCAAGAATAGTTCCGTTCGATGAGATGGCTCCAAACGCCTGATGGGGCAAGAAGCTTCGGTTTTCAGTTAAGAACTTCTTTCGCTGGTCAACTGGCAGCTTGGTAAGTCTCTCGAGCCCGGAACCGACGCTGACTCGAAGGGCGCACTGCCGAGCTCGCACCTTATCACCTGTATTGATGCCAACCGGCACGAGATTTTTCAGGATTTGGCTTCGCCTCTTGCCTTTTTGTTTTCCTGTGGCGATGGAAATATCGTCGCGAAGCTCTGCCAGCATGTCCTCGCGGAGAAGACGGAACTGGTTGTCAAGGTGCCTGGCGGTCCTCTGAGCCGGGTCAGACTGTGATACTTGGACAGCCAGTCGATAGAATGGTGGGATTGTCGAAGAGAGCTCATCGCTGCTTGGGTAGATGGAAATCTGTCGAAGATCTGTAAAATCATTGTCATGTCTCCCTCCAAGGCCATCAACCTCGTCTACGTTGTTGGACGAGGATCTTGTCTGAAGAACCTTTTGGGTGCGGTAGCCAAGTTCGCGGGTCTTGGAACCGGGACTTTTCGTAAACGGACGTGTCTTGATGGCTTTTTCAAAGTCTCTGGTCATCCCAGCGAACTCCGGTCCAGGATAGGTGACAATCTCAAAACACAGCCCTGCAAAAGCTTCTGCGTCCTTTTCGGCAAAGCTACCAGCGACGTAGTGCTTCTGGATGGCATTCCATGCAGTTGGCGGCTGCCAGGCAGCAACCATAAGCTGGTGTAAGAGCATTCCCTCACATAGAGCCTTGGCCTCAGTCTGGCAAATGTATTGCAAAAACGGCAGGACATGGTCAGAGACGAACTGGAGACTGGCGCTGGCTCGCACGCTGGATTTGACGACGTCAAGGCCAGATGGGCTCGCAAGGATAGCCTCCAAACACGATGATGGAGAGGTTTGGACTTTTGCAGCTTCAAAGAATACTTCCGCTTCGTGAGTGTTTGATACAGATCGTTTTCCGTATAGAAAAGAATTGAATATCCTTTTCAGGCGGACGGCACGTACACCATCCCTCGCCATTGCTTTTATCGTGATCAAGGACACCAAGCTGTATATTTTCAACGACTGGTAGACTTGAGTATCTTTGCAAACTAGTATAACGATGAAAAGTTGTTTTCGTTTGTAGTCGTATGGGAAAGGTAGACATTGACAGGTATGGGCTGCAGTGACTGGACCGGCAACGCGTACATGGCTACCTTATTGACCCCGTTTCGTTTGTAATTGAGCGCGTAGCATTCACTGGAACTGGTCTCTACGCTTTCAGTATTCACTTTCTTCTGTCCCCTCTTCCCTCTTCCCTCTCCCCTCTTCCCTCTCCCTCGCCTCTCTCCCCTCTCACGTACGTCTTTTCATTGCTTCGGCTTGGCTCCCACTCTATTACAGACGCACCGGCAACCAGAGCGCTTTTGTCAACGAGGCAAACATGAATTACAAAAACCTTGCTAGTGTTTCTCGCGGTCGCGGGGTCTCTGCTCGTGGTTCCCGTGGTGGCAAGCTTGCCAAGGCGACAGCCGCTGAATTGGTGCCGCCTGCCCCTCTGGGCCGTGTTGTTGGAGAATTTCTTGCCAGTGATCTTCCTCGCACCGTTTCCGCTGGGAAGACTCTTGGGGTCACCGACGTTGAGACGATCGCGTCGTTCAACTGGCTGAACAAGGCTGATGCACACATCACTGTTCCTGGTTAGTATCATCAATATCAGCAACAACATTCGCATGCGACGCTGAAGTCACTGACCAGTGACACAGGCATGCCCCCCAAATAGACGCCTCTTGACCAGCCTCGCAAGCTCAAGCCGGATTCGGGTACCTACTATCGAGATCCAAATGCAGCTCACTATCCAGACTTTCCGCTAGAGGCGTCAGTCGAGGCAATCATGAAGATGAATTCCGACTCGGACAAGGCCTCATACTCGGGTCCGATTGATGTCTTTGGCTGCGCCAGTACCCTGGGGAACCTCCTCCGCTTTACAAGAGGCGAGAATGCGAGCTTTCGAATTCTAGTTGAGGTGGTCGGTACTACTGTACACTTCATTCGTCGCGAAAAGTCGCCGCGGGAAATCTTTGAAGACGTTGTCGGCTACGGTTATACCTTTCCAGAAAACTACACTACCTGGGACAAGTCAGTGCGAGGCTCGACCTCCCATCAGCGCATCCTCAAGTACCACTTTAGTGGTTTGACGCTCCTTGTGCGGTTCGAAGGCGATGGCTATCTCCCCGATCATGCTAATGCATCGTCGTCCAAAGACGCCGGCAGCGAGAAGGCAGTAGGTGCGGCCTCGGTCGACGACTTGGTTGCGTCCCTTGTTGTCTCGCACAAGGCCCCATCATCCAACATTTCGCTCACCATCTCCGACGGCGGCAGTGAAGTTCCTTCTCGAGCCACTTTTGACCTCAAGACCCGCGCCATCTACCGCAAAGCCGAGGAGGCCGAGATCATCGCTAGCGAGATGCCTCGTCTCTGGCTTCGGCAGACGCCGACCCTAATCCTTGCCTACCATAAGTACGGTGTCTTTTGTGACATCAACGTCCAGGATGTGCGTGCCGGTGTGGTGAAATGGCAAGACGAGAACCAGGAGATCCTCGCGCGCTTTGCAGGGCTGCTTGAACGGATTGTGGGTTTCGCTAGGGAGCAGGCAGTCAGCAAGTTGGAGATCACATGCGATGAAGGAAGTGATACTCTTTACGTTCGTAAACAGATTGCAGTCACAATGTCGGCATTCTCTCCACCCGTCGAGGATCGTTGGAAATTGTGGCTCGCAAACCATGGAACAAACAATGGTAAGGATAATCAGAAAGCCGGGTAGAGTAATGGTGATGAGTTGGATCGTATGAGTCCCGACTACCCGGCTGCTTGCGATGATGAAGGTGGCTATTGTGGTCGCTGTGCATATTAAGAGATTGAGAAAGAATTGATTTTACATGAAATCTTGCTGAGTGGACTTTAATAAACTTGATTGTTATGGATTTGATGCTCGCGTCAGTGAGATTTCAGTGCTGCAATTGCCTGCTGGCAGATTCCTACCTATGTGTCTAGCTACCCGGTACCGAATGCTCACGTGGGGCTTACGGTGATGTCATGCTGTTCACGATGCGATGGCGCCTCCTTCCATCTCCCCTACACTTTCCGACCTAGTGGCACGATTACACCTCGCCATGGCTCCCGTGCGACGTTACTTAAGGATCACCAAATATTCTGTCCTGGAATGCCGAATATATCTCGATAGCCCGGCGCTTGCGCAATCCTGGCTGCTGCATCCGAGGCATCAGACTTTGGCGCGGGTCATGGAAGCCATTCGCCCGCTTGTGTTGCCGAAGCTACGAGAGGAAAAAGAACGGGAGAGAGCAAAGAAAAAGCCTTCAAAAAAGTCTCGAGTCAAAGATGTCATTGTCAAAGGTACTTTTGGGCCATTGGCTACAAAGCAGCGTCCTTTTCGGTTGGTTGGGAAAGTGAAAGCTAACACATGCTGGCAACTCGCAGATGACTTTGAGGTGTCCATGTTCCTCACTGAAACGAGCACGAGGCACTCATTACTGTCTAAAAAGAAACACTTCAGAGAGAAGGGCCCCTCATTGATGCAGTCGAATACGACCAAACTCATCAGCGAGACAAATGACCAGCCAGTGGATGTAGACGACGCAGACTTTGCCCCGATACATATTGAGGAGGAAAGCGGTGACGAGGAAGATATCGATCTCTCGGCTATCCCGACTGCTGATATACAAGGCGGGGCTAAGCGTGACAGAGATTTCACTGCGGATGCTTCGGACTTTGGTGATGCTGATGCAGACAACGGAGCTATCGAGGTGGATTCTGGTGATGAAGAGCCACCGTCCAAACGAAGGCGCGAAATCCACCGACTGAACTCTGATGAAGATGCCGAGGATGACAAGAAGAAAATGGCCATGGACGTTTCATACGAAGGTTTCGCAATCTACGGGCGCGTGCTCTGCCTGGTGGTCAAGAGGCGGGATGCCGGAGCTAAGAATAAGCAATCAGCTCTGGCTGGCGGTAACGCAGCCACTGGGCAAGCAAAGATGGAGAACTGGATTACGTCTACCCAGATGCCCGCTGATGAAGCATGATGTAAAGCACCCAAGGATCGCGAAAGCGACACCATCAGGCCAAAAACTGCCGATTCATGCCGGGCTCATTTTACGCGCATGCCGAGGCTCTCACGTCAAAGGGATGCAGACGGCCGCCGCACGAATGCTTTGAGCGATGAACGAATACCCCGCTTGCATTAATGCCGGAGTGTTGATGATCGTCAGCATGTGTGCTCATCCACGCGTCTTGCATCACCGTATGGTGAGGCAGCCCGGGCTGTTCGAATCGCCGATGGACGCCGACCACATTATAGAGTACGAGATGGAGGGGGCGTACAAAAATAAATTAAAATTCTTCAACGGCTTGTTGCCTGGCCATGAGCGAGGAAGCGCACTGACGGCTGGCGGAGAAGGTTTGGCGTACTGGCCAAACCCCGAAAGGATGCCTGTCCTGGGCAACGCAGAATTAAAGTTTTCCTGTCAGAATCTTTATTCCCGCCTGCCCCATGCATTTGCGTTGGATGCCTCTGGGACCATTTGCTCCATAACTAGAGCCGACCGACACATGCGCGTTGTTGTGCGATGATGACTTGAAACGCCCGATTCGCCGTCTGCGCCTGCCCGAGCGCTCGGCCCCGAGCGATAGCCAATTTTGAATTTGAACGGGAAAGCTGCGTGTTGCAAAAATAACACCGACTTCGAGGTCAACGCGACAAAAAGTTTAAAGTGATGCTAGTGTTTCAAGGTGCCGTCGGCTTTGGAGGCCATTTCTACCTTGGCCAGAGGGCACGGATATGGACAGTCTGGGGTAGATGGGCAGTGGCGAATGAAACTTGAGTGACGATGCTATTTTCTTGTTATTTCTTCCAAAAGGTTGACTTTGCCCGATGCCATGTGTCGCGAAAGTTGCGCTGTCAGAGCACCAGCTGGTGACGTTAAACTGCAAGGCTGCGTTTCTGTCCTCGCCGTGTCCTCACATTGATCCACACACCAGCTTTTGTACGAGGCTATCAGTTCGTGGCAGGAACAGGGGGGTTCTTGGTCATGTTAGTCTGGAGGTGTTGTTGCCTTGCTCACCATCACTGACCTTGTAGTCTCCCGCTTTCTTTTCCCTCTTGGCTGTTTTATGGATGAGACAGAGAAATACGTACTATATTTCTCGATAATACGTACATTATCCAACATCGCCTCATGCTGTAGCTTCTTGTCGCGCGAAACGTCAGCCGATACCACCACTTACACGACCACCAACTTGAGCCATCAAGTTCACTCGAAGAATTATGATTCATCACTGTCAATCTATGTGAATCGCAAAATTTACGCATTGCATCGCTTAATCGTCTGGCTGGGCAATGGCCACCTCCGAACTGAATACTGCCGGACGAAAGGCTCTCGGGATTGTCTTTTGGAGCTGCGCCACCTCGCCTTGAAAAGCTTCACCAGGTTGCGAGAAGCCAGCGGCGGCGGCAAGCGGAGTGAAGTTGATTCACTACACGATGTTGCATCAGCAGCCGTAGTATGCCATCGTACGACACGGTATGCTGATATTCGGGCATCTGGGCATGTTTTTTTTCTTCTTCGTTGGCACCCTTGACAGATATTGACACGCCCATATCTGCAGATCTTGAAAATGTGTGTGAGAGTTGCATCATGAGCTCATCAGGTAGTCGAAATGGACGGCAGAAAGGTACTTGAGGCCAAAGTACCATCACCAAGCCGTTATGCAACGCTCCACGAAAACGTGGAGGTTGTGCCACCCGACTACAATTCGAAATTTAGCATCATTTCAATCTCTCGATAGTCACTGCGCTCTGGTGATCACAAGGCACGCCACCAACGCATGTAATAAACCCGCGCCTGCCGCTCTGCCCGCTGCCCCCTTGCAAAGTACTGAGCAGGGCCTCAACGCCATTTTACTTGTCTTTGGCGCCGGAGAGTTTCTGCAAACAAGTCATTCTGCGGAGCAGTAAGCCGGGGGGGCCAGGACAAAAGTAAAACTAAACCTGTGGCGCCGCTACATACGTCGTTACTTCCCGCCCTGATAAGCATGCCTGCCGCATCAGACCACGGGATGGACGATCTGTATTAGGCATCAGCTGCGATGTGAGCGCCGCGCCCGCTACCCACCCCAAATTCTTGAGTAATCATACGACTTGTGGTGGTACTTCAAGTCCGTACTATTGGCAAACTCCACCATCTTGTCAATTGTCTCAGCCATCAAGCGGCAGGAAGGATCTGCAGGCCAAATGTATTATTAGTGGCAATTTTAGACGGCACTTGAAAGTAGTCAACGACGCCGTTTTGGAGTCCATCTTCATCGTCGTCTTTGAAGGCACACACCCTCCTCTGCCCCCTGCGCCATCGCCGGGAAGGCTGAATGGGCCAGGCTGGCTAGAGCCGTAGCAGGCAAACGCGCAACTGACAGGCATATGAATGGTAATGCAATACAAACCCCTGACATCCACGTGGGAAGAGCCAGCGATGACCTCTTTGAGGCTGCCTCCCAGTGAAGGCGGCGCAGCCTCACCCATTAGAGTACCATTGCATGTATTAATAGCGTGTAGTAGCCTCTGGTACGGGGGTCCTGTGAGGCTACGAGCATTAGACAACTGCAACTAGCTAACTAGTGAACAGCCCCCGTAGTTACTAACCAGCCGAGGCTATGCGATGACAAGACAGTACAGTACGTATGTATCATTAAGTTTACTGATGAGCAAACTTGATATCGATTCCGCGTGGCGCCGCCGCGCGCCCGAGCCCCTCACCACGAAACAAGAGCCAATGCCGGTGGCTTGCCCGAGGGCGTACGCGGCGCGCGGCGTGGCAGTTCCCGGGGCTGCTCTTGTTAATCAGTCTCCCCAATCGGAAACACAAAAGCATGAACATGTACAGAGGACCCCAGACTGGCCAAGACTCGTTGTCGTCATCGGCTTATCACGTACAGGGCGACCAGCCTCGGGAGGGTGGCTTTTTGCTGACCACCGCCGCCTCGTCCGGTGCTCAGCTGAGTGCACGACAGGATGCCCAGGCTATCCGTACACGAGTGGCTCCGCTGTGCGTACTCGGCACCGCCGGGGCGCAGACTCGTGCCGGAGTGTTTTACGGACCTGAGCTGGGGGCGGCGGCTGCGGTGGCGCGCGCGGCGTCATCGCCCATGTCATAGATGATCTGTTTTTAGACAACATTCGTGTTCTGTTCAAACAGCCGAGACGAATTCGACATCGTGGGTCCGAGTGTTTCTGTGAAGCCGGGTGTAAGCCAAACTGAGCACAATTTTGAGACGTGAAACGCAATGTAATCCCCTCGTTGCTATAATAGGTATACCCGTGGCTTGTTTCTGCGTGTCAGTAACTAGTTTGTGCGCCGCAGACACATCAATGCGCCGATCATCTCGCGGGTTGGGGTTGGGGAGCCGAGCTTAACCCAGCGGCTTATGACTGCTTGTCTGCCAGACAATTCAATTCTGATTGGGCTCGTTTCTCCCAGTGCGAGCACACGTTGCACTCTCTTGAGGATGTTGCCGAGCTCTTTTTTTTTTTTTTCAACTCTGCAAGTGGTGTCAGTACCATTGTGTGATGACGGCGCTCCTCAGATCCCATTTACACCTATATCATATAGGTTATCAATAACCTGGAAAAGTGGAAGAAAATAAGAGGGATCAGGAAGGGCAAACAGAGATATTAATAGTTTGAGTGATAACTGTGAACCCCCTTGCATTTGGACACAGCCTCGATCTTGGTCGCCAGGAATATACGAGTATTGAGCCATCTCCGTGCGGTAATATAGATTACATGGGATCTCATGATAAGTAAACACAGACTGTTGGTATCATATGCCAGGTCGCGATATGATGACATGTTGACGGGGTTCTCTAGAGAATAAGCTGTAACCTGTTGAGCTATGCTTGGCCGCCTTTGTAACGAATCCTGTCTGGTCTACTCACTCGCCCGTCAGGTCTACTCTCCCTTGCATCTCCTTACACCGTGATATTCTCTTAGCAGAATCACAGCGATCCATCAATTTATTTGGCTATTCATTACGGAGTAGACGCACCCCGGCACTTGCATCGGACGTGGGGAGTATCTTACGATGGCATTGAGCACGGAAGCAGCCATTGGCGCACAAGACCAAAAACCTCCGAAATGAAGTGGCTTGTCCCCGGCCCCCAAGCCAATTGAGGACGTTGGCCCGAGCTTGCTGTGAAAAGTATGCGATGGTTGGGGTACATACGGATACGTGTCCATGTAATTTTGTACCAGTATCAGACTTGTGAATCTCATCAACCATCCTGGGCGCCCATCAATCCCAGCAGCAAGTCATTGCAAGGGTCCTAATGACCTGATGGACAGGCACAGCCACGAGCCAGGGTCAGCATCACGCACAAGCGGGTGAGGCGCAGGGCTTGGGGTTGAGATTAAGAAGTATTGAACAGGCAGAAGCAAAAAGCTTCCCAACGGCCGCAATGAGCACAACGTCTAACTAACTAGTTTCCTTCGCAGTGGTAATCTCGTTTGCCGGCGAGAGTGGCTGGGCGCTATTGACGGAAAAGCCGAGTGCATGAATTCAGGTCATCAGCCAAGTCATCAGCCAGCAATGAAAGGGAAAAGGAAATTTCTGTACAACCTGGGTGTTAAAACTGTTGGTATGATTTGGAAGCTTGGCGCGGTAGTTAATGCGTGATGGATGGGATATCACGGGCCATAATAGCGGCGTCATATTGCAAAGCAAATTGGCATGGGCTTGAAAATAGCATTCGAGGCAGAATTGATAGGAGAGTGCCAATATAGGTCCCAACAACAGACAACAACCCCTGCCGCCCTATTTCGTATTCCTGCGTCATCGTTGCCAGGATTCTCATTTCATCTTCATTTTGCTCTTGTCCACGAGATGCATTTTTGCGGGCGGCCATCTCATCAACTAATTTATGTCATACATTTATACACCCCTCTTGAACCAGCAGACTGGGGGGTGTGACATCCAATCTCGTCCGAAAGGGCGCCCTGCAATGCAACGCAGTGCAACGGCCAACCTTCTGGAAG